GGGAAAGATTCTTCCCCTGTCTCCTCCTGCCTCAAAAAGCTTATATTTCATTCCTCCTTCACTGGTGGTTGACAGGAAATATATGCTCCCTCTATCTCCCGTATGCTTAATAGGCAACTGAGGTGCAGGTTTTTGATCCCGGTTGTAAGAAAGTGTGGAGGCTGATCCAGGCTATTTTCTCCAATGCCTGTTCATACAGGTGCATGATGGGGTGAGTGGAGTGTACACTCTTCTTCCTTCTTTTATGTATAGCTTGAGAAAGGAGGAACTGTGGTATATCTTCCAGGAGCTGTGTGAATTGCGGTCTATTAAGTCTGACACTATGGAAGTTTGTCCAGAATTAAGGTTTCTGGAAGGACCCATGTTTTAGTCATTGCCACCTCACTAGATCAGTATCTACCTGCTGAAAGGATCTCTTTCCCGAATTCAGCATCTATGAATACCACTCTCACACTAAACAAGCTTATAGTCAAGGGAACGTTTAAAAAAAAATAAAAGTATTAATAAGACATCAAGGTCAACTTACTTAAGGTCAAGTTACCTGTGACCAGTTCAGAACAAACCAGAGTGATTCTTCGTGCAATGAGTGTGACGTGAAGCTCTGGAATTCCTAACCTTAAATTATTATACCAAAAATTTACATGGGTTCGGTGGAGGCTCCAAAATGTCATAAAAAGACTGTATTCCTTGTTCAGTAAAACACATGGATCACCTCTGGCTCATGACATTCCTAAATCACAACATGGTGGGAGCTGAGAAAGTATTTTGTGAAGTACCATAAATGCTTGTCCTACATTCACGTTGCCAAGTCATCTTCCTTTGAGAGACACTTCTGGACAAGACAGGCATTTGCTATTATCTAAAATATCCATCTTTATGTTCTTCATACACTGGTCCCTAACAGACTTGCAGAAAATACTTAATTCCCATTGAGTTTAGAAATTATCTGGAATATAGGTTCTTCAGAAAATTTATTTATACTACATACCTCTGATTTGTCTGAATCATAATTCTGCTCACAATATTAGACCGGCTTATAAATAAACAGTAAAAAACTTGCATTGGTAAAATCTTAATGTTAGGATATCGGAAACAGGTATTTAATAAAACAAATATAGAATATAGTCTTAGCTTCAGCTTGTCACATGCTTGTCTCTTGAGTTGTTTTTCAGCGAATAAAATTGATAAATCATTGTTCAGGGTTCCTAGTGTTACCTGAGCTCAGAACAACGATAGTTTCAGAAGCTCTTGGTTCTATCACACTTAAGTCTAGGCAATTCTTTCCAAACTCCCATCCGTTTCCCTATACTGAGGCTACACAGCCAATTTCACAGTCAGTAACAGTGTTGTTTGGTTGTCATTGTCTTCAAGTGGCATTCTGTGATGAAAAAGGAGATAGCCTTTATGACTTTCCCTGTAGGCAGGCATTTAGTGCAGCTGACTGTGATTCCCAGTACAGATCTTTACTGGATTAGCAAGGGAGGCTCTGAACTTTGTAAATCCTCTTTTTTGTGATATGATGTCTTTGGTGCTTAAAGATGATATCTCCTTGCTCCTATTCATCCTGCTGGCAAAGTGCTTCTTAACCAGCCTCAAGTGTTCCTTTATGCAGAGTTGTTAACGCGTTCTTTTTAATTGTATACAGAAAATTGATTATTCACATAAACACAGTTTCTCATATGTTTCTTCGCTTTTCCATTGTACTTTTGACATTTCCACTTTTTTCTACTTCCGTTACCTCCAAATCACCCTGTCATTATTTTGAAAACATAGTCCTTTTTTTCTAAATTAAAAGGTTCTGATACTGATGTCTTTTCCTATCTTATGATGTTTCCCAAAAATGCTTGCGTCTCAAAATGGGTGTCTTCATAATGATTATATTGACTTGATAACCGCATAATACCAGCAAAAGTGGTAAAGGACTACTGACCTTTCAGAACAGAAGATAACCTAGGTATTTAATTTTAAATTCTTAAAACCCATAATAGAAATATTTATTAAAAATTTTTTGGTCAATACTTCATAAAGTCTCTATTGACTTCTTCTGCATAATTCCTTTCAGTGAAGTACATTTTTCTTCCAGTTTCATATATCAAAGAAATAATTTTGATTTTATTTTCTGAATTCCCTGTAAGTGCATGAGAACACACAGTATAAATGGAATTGCTGTTAACCAACAATTGGATGATTGGTTAACAGCATTTACATTACATTATGGTTAACAAAATATATGGCAATATATTTTATCATTAGAGTTTGTGGGCCACAAAACAGACATAGTTCAGGTAAGCAATTGCCAGGCATATGTTCTGTAATTTGGATCTCTGGAATTACAGAAATGGAGAAGGAGCTGTGCTGGTTGGATATGGGCAAATTCTGCCATTTTCTATCCATTTGTATTTCTTATGTACAGGTGACTTTACTATTGGTAATTTTTATAACTTTTTTTAAAAAATAAAGGAGAGTATTGATGAAAAATAAATTAAAAGTTTTAAGTATTGAAAACATCTGAAACATGCTCACCCATCTGATTTGTAAGCTACAGGTAAAAATAAATCAATACAACCTAAGTTACAAACAGCAGAGGAAAGATCCAAGCCTCCTAAGGTAGTCTGTCTGAAAGCCAGAGGAGAGAGCTCAATGAACTTCTGAAGAGTCTTTGTAGTGAGCAAGGTGCTTTGGGGGGCACAAAGCCTACTTGGTGTGTCTGAATTTATGCCCTGACTTGCAGTAGACATTTCTTTCCACCTGGGTTCCCGAGTGCTCTGTTACAGAGCATTAAGACATTAAAGCAAATTTCTGTTGTTGGTGATACTACCACTAGTGTCTTTATTGGTGGAGACAGTGAGAGCATCCTCACTGATGGGCCGTGGTGTTCTCTGAAAATGGGTTGAAGCTTTCTGTTGAAACTGGTAGCCAGTGTTGTAATGCTGGCAGGAGAGCAAGATAAGGGAACATTATTTCATTCCAGTGACTGGGGAATACTCCTGAGATGTAGGAGCTCTTCGTCTAATCTCTGCAGACTGAGAGGGGACTAGCAGTCTCTAAGCAAGCTCTCCAACATATGGACTATAATACAAATGTGCTACTATATAATGTAAGAAACCAAAAAAAGTTACAATAATGCTTACTAAATCCATTATGAAACCCGTAATGCCACCGTAGTTTTCATTTAAATATGTAAGTTAAATGTACTCTTATGAAACTCATTTCAGCCTTGTG